CCAAAGGAATTAAATTAAGAGCGCCATCACTTAGATTAATAGAAGCCATTTCATTGTCGTAAATCTTTCCTATAGCCGTTGTTTCTTTCAAAACTCGTTCTTTCACCTTTTCTTTAAACATTGCAACTTCGACTTGTTCAGGTACTGGTAAATGAAAATTATGATTGCCAGATTTCCCAACATATTGATTATTGTGATCTGTATGAATATAAGCTGAGCAAGTTCGATCTTTGCATCGCCAGTACTTCAACTTTGGTCGAGTACGGTTTAATTGAAAAATAAATCCATCACATATTAAGATTGGTTTACGTTTGTTGCTGATTGAAAAGCTAAGACTAGGAACAGTTGGCATATCAAGAAAAATATACTACTAGAACGAAATGAAAAGATCGAATATGTTGAATACACTACTATGATATTAAATGCACAAATGACGGGCATTTATATATGAGAGAAGATCAAGAATTACCTCGAAGGAAAAAGAAACAAGGAAAATCATCTAGAATGTTCTAGTCTATACTGTACAAAGAGATTACTAAAGAATGAGAAGAAAAGAATATTTCGTTAAGCACATTTTTCTAAGGACATTTCACTATAAATTTGAAGAAAGTTGTATTTGGTTATATCCAGGCCAACACGCATAAAGAAAATGCACAAGCCGAAAAAAAATAGATGACAGCATGTGTTGAACGTTTTTTCTATATCATAATACAATTTTCGACATTTTTTTATACGTCGACATTTTGTTGTCGACATTTTTACTTGTCGATATTTTGTTTTCGACGTTTGACTACTAAATCGATTTTTCTATATCATGATAGAATTTTCGACATTTTGTCGTCGACATTACTTGTCGACATTTTGTCATCGACATTACTTGTCGACATTTTGTTGTTGACATTTTTACTTGTCGATATTTTGTTTTCGACGTTTGACCACTAAATCAATTATACAATCCATTCACAGGCGCTTGGACAACCACAGGAAGTATGATTTCTACACGAACCGAGTTTATAGCAGCCACATTAGCAAATGGAAAAGTGTTAGTTGCTGGCGGATACGGCAGTGCTTTTCTCGCTAATGCTGAATTATACAATCCATCCACAGGTACTTGGGCAGCTACAGGAAGTATGATTTACTCACGAGCAGATCACGCAGCATCCATATTAGCAAATGGATCAGTATTAGTTACTGGTGGACACAACGGTGCATATTTGCCTCAAGCTGACTTGTACAATCCATCTACAGGTACTTGGAGAAGCACAGGAAACATGAATGCAGCACGATATTACCATACATCATCCACATTAGGAAGTGGATTAGTATTAGTTACTGGTGGACTGAACAGTGGTGGCGATGTCAATAGTGCTGAATTATATAATCCATCGACAGGCACCTGGGTATATACACCAAACATGAATTTTGCACGACAATATCACACAGCATCCATATTACCAGATGGAAAACTATTAGTTACTGGTGGAAGCAACAGTGCTACTTACAATAGTACTGAGTTTTACCAATAGACATCCACAGAATGACAATTTCGTTTTTGCATAGAATTAAATTATAAAATTTTATATATAGTCAAATTATTTAATCATTCACATATCTTAATAAATAATAATTCACCAAATAATATATGAGTTGGAGTAATCTTTTGAAGTGATATTGTACGGCGGTTATTGAAAAAGAGCCAAAGCTGGTAAAAGATAGATCATTATTTGTACAACTGAGTGGATATAAATAGGGTGTGGGTAAGTGTCCTGCTAGGTAAATCATAATGATCTACAACCACCCTCACCCTCAACTCTCTAGGAGTTCACTGCGCAGCCCCTCGAAAGTCAATCATCATAATTTATGAGTATAAGTCAGAAACAGGTGTTCATCTGAGTCTGTAAGTGACTTTGGTGTAAAATGGTTATACCTATTTTGTTTGCATCATTCTCATGGCATAACTTTCAGAAAGTTTTTATTATATTCACGACATGATTCTCATGCATGTTAGATTATTTTGATAGTATAATGCGCATATAAATTTTAGTTTTCCTGACGAAACATTGCGATTAATCATATGATTCTTACATAATTATATTCTTGTAACTATAATCATTTTCATCAAATCGAAGTTTACTCAGCCAGATAAGCTATAAATTTAAAATAAATTAAAAGTAATATCCGTTTCACAATGAGAAATGAAATTTTTCTGTAGTAAAGTTTCCATTAAAATTATGTAATTTACATCATTTCTTATTCCTTGGATATTTTTTTACTTCAGAAAGGGTTTTTCAATTTTCGAGCCTCCACTGTTGATAAGAAATAAGCATAGGTACTGCGTTGTCGACAGATAAGAAAAAAGAACAAATTTCGAACAGTCACTTTCAGTCAAGCCATTGACTTGCACTATCCAGCATCACAAAGAAAAAATGATGAAACTACAGAGATGATGAAATGAGAAAGAACAAAACATGACTTATATATGTGAACATACGTGAGGAGAACAGAAAAAAAAGATACATGTGCAAGAAGAGAACAGAAAAAGAAGATGTATATATGCGCAAGAAGAGAAAGAGAAAATGTATGTGCCCAGTGAGAGCATGATATACATCGTTCTCTGACACATCTCTAACGATGAGTGAAGTAGTGAGTTAGAACGAACTATCATTTTTATATTCTAAATTGGGTTTTTTCGCTATCTAATTACATGAGTATTGTTGGTGCTGATAAATCGCCTTTATATTATTGCCAAAATGCAAACTTAAACTAAAAAAGTTCATATTGTAAAATGTATTACTTATTCGGTTAGAATTTTCGAATAATATGTTTCGTGCACAAGATCATTTTCATTCTTTTTTGTGATTCGCTAATTGTTCGCATGTCCGAAATTGTTCAAAGTAAATAGAATAGTTTGATATCTTTATTTCTTAAATTTTCTACGTCGTGATTTCGTCGCTCACTTAATATATATTCTAAAGCTGTAGATCGATCATCAATATTCTGATACTGAAGACTGAGATATGTCGCAAAATAATCAAAATAATGTTTTGAAGAAAATTACAAATTCAATTGATAAAATTTGTAATTTTGATAAAAATCCTACCGCCTATGTGAAGTTATATACGTAAGTTTTTTGTCGTTGTTAATTTGTTTTCATTTGTGATTTATAGACTTATATTCAACTGTGTCGATAGGAATGCATATGCCAATTCAGATTCAACTAAATGGTTACGCGTCAGCAAAGGCCAAGACGTGACAGGAGAAGACTTATATCTGCATTTGGAAAATTATCTAGGGAACAAACTCAACAATGTCTCGAAGGTAAGATTTTTGATCTATTTTTACACAAATCGACAAAAAACGGCATGAATAAACGTACGCATGTAGATGAGAGTAGTTAGATTATTAATTATACTCCTAAGGATAATTATTTAGCATATATGTACGATAAGTTTCTACTTGTTAAATTTATTTTGCTAATTATTCTTATCAAAGGATATGGATAATATATCCACTGAAAATATCCTTCAATATTACAAAAAACTTCAATACAAGTATAAACAGCTGTTTAAAGTATTAAACGGTGCTTATCTCTATCTTTCTCGACATTGGCTTCAACGTCAGTTAGACTCTGGAAGACGTAATGTCTATAAAATTGATGTGGTATGTTATATTTTATTTCTAATATCTTTACAAAAATTTTCCAACAAATAGTTAATCCATCGACTTTGGACAGAAATTGTATTAAAACCACACTTTCAACGATTAATACACGCATGTTTGACTTCAATCAATATTAGTCGTCAGAATCGTTTATCTGCTGACACAGAATCGATCAAATGTATTCTACAGTTATATTGTTAGTAGATAATTTGCTTTTTGTTTTTCGTTAATTTGAAACCTCTTTTAGGTGATGAAAACTTCATTCAAACAATGAATAATAATATTTATACGGAAAGTTTTGAAAATAAATTTCTTCAAACAACAAAAGATTTTTATTGTTCAAAAGAGTTTCCTGTTATTGAATCAAATGATAAAATGTTGGAATATTTGAAAATGGTAGGTGTACTTCGATGAAATCGATGCAAAATACATTGATGAATTTCAGGTAACAGACTATTTTGATTATGAAATCAATCAAGCGAAAACTTATCTACCTGAAGAAAAATCAACATTAACAACATTGATATTCTTATTAGAATCAATATTTTTTCCAACTGATATTTTCAATATTATTGTAGAAAAACTACAATTACTCGTAGCAGATGAGAATAACTATCAAGGTAAACATTATTAAACTAATTTCTTATACTATTATAAAACTAGTTCTGTTATTTGAACCAATTTATAAATTAACAAAATTAAAAAATGAATTGTTAAAGTTAATTGAAACTCATGTTTACCAAAAAGCAATTGAGTCTATCACTGACGATTTAATTAATGTAAGTTTATCAATCTATCTCATGTCTTATAAATATGATATTTAGAATCCCTTGTTTTACATTGAAACAATTGTTAATATTCATGGGAAGTATCTAAAACTTATTCAGGAAACCTTTGTAGGGGATCAAAGTTTTGTTGCCAGTTTTGATAAAGTAAATTCTTTCATTTAAAATTCAATATAATACGAATGCGTACCATAGGGTTATGCTAAATTTATGAATCAAAATCCAATATCAAAAACGACTGGTAACACCATGACATTTGCAGAAATATTCGCTCGATATTGTGATACATTACTGAGAAAAGGGTTTGTATAGATTCATTTATAACACTCAATTGAAAGTTATTATCTTTTTTTTGTAGAAGTAAAGCTGTAAAAAATGATAATTGGGATGAAAAGTTGAATAATAATTATTCAACTTGAATAATATAATGGTGATATTTCAAATTGCAATTATTCTCAAATGATTTATTTTGTTGTTGTTTTTTAGATTATTTTCAAGTATCTCAATGATAAAGATGTTTTTATAAAATTTTATCAGAAAATGTTACGAAAACGTTTGATTGATCAACTGAGTGTATCAGATTCTTGTGAAGAGTCATTAATATTAGAATTTAAAGTAAAAATATTATTTCAATACATGAATTTATTATTTTGTTTTTCTATTTAGAATAAATGTGGTTATGAATATACATCAAAACTTGAACAAATGATTCAAGATATTCATTTAAGCGACGATTTAACTAAACAATATCGAACTTATGAGAAAAATATATATGGAAATGAAAATAGTAAAATCTATTCGAAGAATAATCTTGGAGAAAAAAAATTTTTATAGGTTTTTTTCGGTTATGATTCTTACTTCGAATTCTTGGTTATTTTCTCATCCATCTGATATAATTTTACCAGTCAAGTTTAAAAATATATATGAGAATTTCACAATATTTTATCTTAGTAAACATACTGGTCGAAAACTTACATTACTTCATCAATATTCCAAAGGAGAACTACAAATAAATTTTACAACAAAAAAATATCGATTACAGGTAAAAAGAAATTAGTACATTCAATCTGAAAGAAATTTTTTTCATTGAAAAGGTATCAATATACCAAATGATGATTTTATTATTATTTAATCAAGAATTGATTTGGACAATTGAACAAATTCAAGACAAAACACATATTCAGTCGGAATTATTATCAGACATTCTCTCAGGCTTGTTGAAAAGTAAATTATTAATATCTGACGATCCTCTTACATTGAATAGTCGAATTAAACTAGCAGAAAATTTCATAAGGTAAGTTTTCTTTTGAATAAAATTCTAAAAATGAAATAAATCTTTTTAAGTGATAAAACTCGATTGAATTTAAATCTTCCATTCAGACCGAACGAACAAAAAGATCGAAGTCATCTAGTAAAAACAACGATTGATGAACGTCAAATGGTTATTCAAGCTGCTCTCGTTCGAATAATGAAAAGAGAACGAACACTAAAACATTCATTATTAATACAAGAAGTTATTCAACAATTAACTTCAAGTTTTAAACCAGATATATCTTTGATCAAAGTAAATTTCCTTGACATTGTATTAAAAATATTCTTTGCCATTATTTTAGAAGTATATTGAAATATTAATTGAAAAAGAATATTTTCAAAGAGATTCAAACAATAAAGATACTTTACATTATTTGGCTTGAGAGTGTGGATGAGTATTCTATTGGTTTTTCCACCCATACCCAGACTATTGTCTAGAGCATGTTTTTTCATAATTTTCATTTTAAATAAACATTTTTTTAGAATCTATATAAATTTTTTCGCTGCCAAAAATTATGAAAAAACTAACCAAATAAAAACTTCATTTACAGATATACATAACTTTTAAAATAATAACTACAAAATATGAAGAAATCCAATAATGAGTGTTGATAAAGAGAATTGCATCCAATACATGATGGATCATTCCATTTTGGATCAAATTGACTTGTTAACATTAAAATAGTAAAATTAATATCAACTACTTTTTGATAATATTTATCTAATGAATATTTAGGTCATTGTGATCATAATGACATTTCTTCTACTATTGTATTGATTGAAAGAATTGTTGATTTATATCAAGTTAATAATGTTGTTGTATTAACTTCATATTCATCTATATCTAAGCAAAGTTCAAATTGTACAATATGATATCCAAAAACATCAGAATTTAATGAATCAAATTTAAGAAGATTATTCTCATTATTACAACGATTGAAACAAAATATAATAGCTGATATAATTGAGCTACCTGAACTCATCATACTACGAAATTGATTATCTGCAGTTATTTGATATTTAAAAAAATATTTTGTTATACAATTTTCACGATTTTCTTCTAATGATTTTAATATATTTAATAACATTACATCAGGTGATTCATATTGAAATTGACAATATGATAAATATCTTTTAGCTATGATGATGGCCAAAGATCATAACGGCTTATTGGAAATCCATTAAGACTACGATGATCAGATAAAATGATTGTTATACCATAATTATATGGAATAAAAGAACAATCTGACTTATCTGGGCCACTGGCTAAGATAAAAAGTGTATTATTTTTGGATTTAAACGTGTCATTGGTATAATTATTTTTCTTCCATTTAGTTTTATATAAATTTATTAGAAAATAATTAATTTTCTCAATAATTATCTATTTTATATATTAAATGCGTATTCATTCTAAAGAGAATTTTTTATAAAAAAGAACTTTTTTCTTCTTTTCTTTCCTATATTAAAGAAAGAGAACGAAACTATTTATCAAACGATGATGTATTTAATAAGTTATTATTATAAAAAATAAAATAAAAAGAATAATATAATATTAAATAAAATTTTGTTTAGTTGGTACACCTGACCATTTTGTATTATTAATGTATATAGATAAAGATGATTTTTTTCATTTAAAATTGATCGACAAAGTACAATTGAACGACTCATTAATATACTTGAATGATTAATTATAACTAGAGATAATTTATAAAAACATTGTTCAAATGTATGACACAAAGAATAAATAAAGGAACAAAGAATGAATTAATAATCACGGCTATAATTCAAGAGAAAGACCAAATCCCAAAATCTAAATAATTTGGGGTGAATGTAGTATTGTAACATACCAACAAACAATTATTTTACATCATAAAGTACGTTTCTAATTAAAATAAAAACAATCTGTCATATTATTTGTTTGTAGTGATAGAAATGACATAACCTTAGAGTGATCAGACAAAATTAAAAAACGTACTTTAATAATCACGAAGAAAGAAAAGGATTATTGTTGTTATAAGATTATCAATAACGTTCGTCGCATTATGTATTACTGTCTTGTTTTATATTTGACATATTGACATCTCTATACAATTACAAATTAATGTTCATAAATATTTCATTGAGCGTAGGGGTGTTACTCTATTTTTATCTTTTTTTATGATAAAGAATAAAGATAAAGTGACGCATAAAAGATTTATGAGAAAAAGTTGCCTCCATAATCTTTTTTAGCCTGAGTCCTTATAATATTTGGCAATATACCTGGAAAAGATAATATTTTAGATTTTTGTGGAAAAAGCACATTTTTTTATTCTTTATTTTTATTTAATTTTTTTAATAAAAATAGTGTAACTTTTTCTTTATCTTTATTCTATAAAAAAAAAAGATTTACTTAATCTTTGTTTTACAAATATAAAGACTAGCTTTATTCTTTATAAAATAAAGATAAAATAACACCTCTCGTCAGCAACAAACAAGTGTTATAGTAATATTAACATCTTTAATAAGACTGTAAAAGATGGATGCTACAAGTAATGGTACTTTGGCTCTTACAAGACAATCCTCTTCTTTTCTTCATCCTGATGCAACATTGCTTCTGATTCTGTATCGCTACGGATTGGCATTTATATTCTTTATTGGATTTTCGGGAAATTTTGCAAGTTTAGTGACTTTCATGAGTCCAATTTTACGTGTTACATCAACTGGATGTCTATTCTTTATGGTCGCTATTTCGGACATGCTGTATCTAATGATATCAATTTTTGAGTTTGTCGAAGTTGGCATAGTACAAGGACCAGTTTTTCTATCTGTTTACGACAGTGTATGTCGCTTTCGTTGGTTTTCAAAAGGATTCATTCGATTTTGTTCAGCTTGGTTTCTGGTATTGATAGCAATTGATCGTTGGGTGAGAGCACGTTTCCCATTCAAAGTTAATCAATGGTGTACTCGTCGTAATGCATTAATTACAGTGTTAATCACTAGTGTTCTTGGTGTTGGTCTTCATGGTCATATGTTAAGTGCTCAACTATTCGGCGGTTACTTTCCTGGTATTCCATCACTTGCCTGCGGGGCTCTTAATCAATCTTTTTTCTATTTGCGTTTCTTTTTTACTCAATGGCCAATTATTCAGGTAATCAATAGAAAAATGAAGGTTAAGAAATGTTCTTTCGAATGTTTTAGATCACTTTCATCTCAATTATTCCTGTATTATTAATACTTGCTAGTAGTATTAACATTTATCTTATAATTCACAAGGAAAAGAATCGCATACAACCAATAATTACCAGTAATCATGCACATAGAAGACAAACACGTTTACAACGAAATATGTTACTCTTGATGATATCAAGTGCCATTTTATTTTCTTCTACAACTTTGCCTATTAGTGTTTGTCAAATTATTAATGCCTATCGAATTGCTGCAAGCTTTAGTGTTGATATAAATAAGGTCATTAATGAAGAAGCAATTGTTAATCTAATACTTGAATTTAACTATGCTGTAAGTAATTTGCTTCTGAAAGTAATATTCAGAAAAAAATTCTAGACAAAACAAAATTCGGATTGACTTTGAGTCATCGATTAATTCTTTAGATCTTTAATATAAGATGGATAATCCTAAATATTATGAAATCTTCTAACGACAATTTTATGTATCTTATATTTCAATATCGCTCTCTTTTCTGCTAGATCAACTTCTATATTCATTGTTTGGCTTCAAAACTGTTTCGCAACGAATTTCGACGATGTTTCAAAATAATGAATCGACAAAATCAAGTAGGCACTCTTGATCCCACTCGGAATAATTTACCTCTTGTCGAAATTCATCACAACCACTCGCGCGAGGGTGCGGGTACTGGTGTCGTTAAAGAAGAGATACCCACACCCAAAAGACGGTAAATGACTGCCGTATATGATCATATGTCACTATGTGCGATCGTATGTGGTCGTATACGGCTACTATATACTCAATCTTAGAAAATCGTAATGAACTAAGATTTGAATAGATGTTTTACATCTGTTAGTATTCATATTTTCATTGTCATTGTTCGTTATTATTATAATATAATATTATTTTATTTCATCTCATCTTATTTTATTGTTTTATTTTACTCTATTGCGTTTTATTTTATTGTATTTTATTGTATTCTATTTTATTGCATTTTATCTTATTTTATTCTAGCACATTTCATTCTATTTTATTATTCTGCTTTATTTAGAAAGGTTTCGAGTGAGATAAATCAATAAATACTTCTTATTGATTTGAATTTTACGTGTAATTTTGATTCTAAAATCTTTATTTGTAAATAAACAATGAGAAAGGTAAAATCTATAAAATAGAAATGAAATGAAAATTCAACTTATTTAATTCTGCTTAAAACAAGAAAAGCAAGAACAGTAGTAGATGTTTTTTTATTAATTTTCTGAAGGATATGGTATTTAAAAATGATAACAAGCTGATGTGTAAATTCTAAGTTCATAATCTGATGTAAAACTAAATAATTTATTCATTATCGATAATTTTTCAGATGTAATAGAAATATAAGTTTTGATTTATTTCTGTATTATTTGTTATTCACTAAATTTCTATGAACTCACTTTATAGAATCATAACTAGATAGTATTAAAGATTTTCTATTATTTACAATTCGTAGATGATATTAAAAAAAAATATGTTATATTTTCTCATTAGTTGAGTATCTATGAAATAACAAGTATTTTAATATTTCAATTGAAAAGATTCATTTGAAAAAAAGACACTTTTACTAATCGATTAGATAAAAAATATCGTTTTGTTCAACATGTTTACTTGCTGTTTACTATGACTTGGATGACGAATAAGAATCAAATCTCAAAAAATATATATATCATATTATTAAAATACTTTATATCGAATCTATTACAGTTTATGATCTATTTCATATCATTGTGCGTTCTTCAATTTATTATCTTTTATTTTTTTATAGTTGACCTGTACTTTTTTATATTTGCATATCACATGCTTAAGAATCGTTTCAAAGATCAAAACAATAAAGATTCAAAGTATTAGTGATCATATACACAAGTACTCTTGACATTAAATCGTTCTTGTATCATTAATTCGATAATCATTTGATACACATCAGTACCTGTTTCAAATATTAAGGTATTTATGTTTATGATACTGCGATAAGCACCTCACTCTCTTTACTTCGAATACTTAATCATTCTTTTATTGACGATCAAAAGAAGTATATAAAGCTCTCGTATCAATCTTGATTTCATAAAACAAGAATGTTGTTCTCTGCTGCTCGACTTGTTTTTGTCGTTTTTTTACCTGTGATTCTCTGCCAGCTTCCATTCGATTCAGAATACCGATTTCACGATGTGAAGATCTTTGGTGATTCTTACTCGGACACGGGTAATCTTCACAAGCTGTCTAATGGTCTTTGGCCTATACCACCATATTACAACGGTCGCTATTGCAACGGTCCGAATTGGGTGGATCAATTGCAAGGATCCTGGTTGGAACAATTGAAAGGATTCAACGTAAAAAGTTATGCCTATGGAGGCGCAACAACTGACAACAATTTCGTTCAGGGCGCTGGAGCGTTCGGTGCTATTCCTGTACCCTCAGTTGCAGATCAGGTTGAATTCTATTTGAATGAAGATCGTTGGAATAAGATCAATTTTGACCGCACTCTCTACATCTTTTGGGCTGGTGGCAACGATTTTGCTAACAAACCGACTACGCCTCCTCCTGCAATCGTGGCTAGTCTTTTGAATAGTGTCAATAAATTAGTGGCAGTCGGTGGTAAACATTTTCTTGTCTTCAATGCAGTACCAGCTCAAGCGGTTCCAGCAAGCGCAGGGCTCGCACCAGAGGCCACTTTAGCCTACCTTACAGGTTTGTCCAATAGTGCTCTGACAGCTGATCTTGCAACGATGCGACAAAATTATCCACAAGCAAACTTTAGCATCTTCGATATCAATTCACTTGTCTCGAAAGTTGTTGCCAGCAAGTCGGGCTACTTTACAAATGCAAAGAACAATTGTTGGAATTCTGTGAATGCAACCACAATAATACAGATCTGCACAAATCCTGACAAATATGTCTTCGTCGATCTTCAGCACTTTACCGAACCTATGGCTGCATTGATTGCCAATGCTGTTCGTCAATTTGTTCTAACTTCATACGACGTCAACAGTTCTGGTTGCTATGTTCATGCTGCTTAATGCATGATATTCGTCCATAAACTTTATTCCTCCTTAAACCTTATTCCTCATTGATACTTCTCCCTCATTTTTTTCTTCTTAATAAATTTAACCAAACCATCGATCTAATTATTTGTTGCTACATGAATATAGAATTATCTCACCTAACGCGGAGACTAGAAAAATGTAGCAGGGGAATGTTCAGCACAGAAATTTCAAGTCAGGAAAGTTACGCACAAGAAAGTATGAATGAGATAGGTACCGGTCTGATTTCAAGACTAAGTAGCCACTAGATATGTATATTAGGTGCTAGTACATCACCTAATTATCTTCTCGAGATGCGACAGATATTTCGGTTTTTTTCGCAAATATACAGTGAAAGAAAAAAAATTACACGATCTGCATTTGTCCTTACTTGAGGATAGATGCGAATGTGAGTGTGGGTGTGGATTTGTGTAGCTGTGAGTAGAGAAGAGACACTCACACTCATACCTATACCCTTGAATGTTTCATGATATCTGAAACATTTTAATTTATCGATTATATAAATACTCTTCCTGTTATTTTCAATGAATACAAAATGAAAATAATATAAAAAACAAAACGTCGAAAACTTGCATGAAATATTTTTATATACATCGAGATATTACAACGTCTATGAGAATCATCAGATGAAATAGATCTGTCATTTTCATATTTTTCAACGACACCACATCCCTATACAAAATCTTTAAATGATCTACAGAATTGCGAGTAGTTCTGTACAAAAGTTACGAAACTACTGAAGCTTAGCACATAGTACACAAAGCTTGCAAACCCTGTTAATTTTCAAAACTTCAAAAAATTCTGTATAAATTACGAAACGATTTGTGTATATGCATTTTAAAAAAACAAATAACATGATGGACACAAAAATTATGTTTATTTAATGAATAAATAATTCAAAAGCTTTTCTTACAAGATCTTTATCATCGTCATGTGTCAATAAACTAGTCGCTTCTTCTAGAGATATAAGTTTCACTTCAAAGTTTTCATTTATCATTTGTGTATTTTCTTGTCTTGGAAATGCTTCATCCATTTGTGTTACATACCAAAAAATAATTTTCCGATTGGTAGGTGTTCCTCCAATTTGACGAAGTGAAATGCTAAACGGTTCCGAGATATTATTGATTTTGCGTGCAACATCCTGTAAATGTTCATTTGTAGTAGTCAGTGGTGTAGCTCTTGTTTCCATCGTTAATGGCATTAATGAACAATGATATCCTGTTTCTTCAAATGTTTCACGTACTGCTGATATTGAAAGTGCCTCATTAACATTTTTTCGACCTTTTGGTAAGCCCCATTGTCCTAAATGATTAATAAGACACACCTCACGTGTAGATTTTTTAATGAGAATCGATCCAGCACAAAGTACAAATTGATTGGAATACAAGTTGATTTTTCCAGAGTAACGGTTAGTCATCAATTCTTGTAACTTTATTTTTTCATTTTTCTGTTTCAGCATTTCATAGATACGATGTATAGACTCGTCAAACGTAAAGTCATCATTGTTGAGAACCAAAGTTGTCGTTTCAAATTTTATTTTGTCTACGCTATGAAGAGCTTCAGTATCGACACATGAACGTTCAAGACGTGTATCAATGTAAACAACTTGAAGAAGATCGCCTAGAATTAGTATAAGATATGGAGTTGCTACCAAACGATGTAAGCTCTCAATTGTAACTGCTGCAAACCAATAATGTCGACGAAGATAATGATCAAGTTGCTTCACTAATTCAACTACTTGCTTTTCGTCGGGTAATTGATAGACATCATAACCAAGAGCATCTGAAGCTAATTCCATAAGATATGCAATTTTAAGACGTGTACATTTCATTCCAACCGATTCTAATCTTCGACAAGTGCCTTCAGCCAATGTACTTTTTTCTGATTCAGACATACCATCAAATGCAATAATAACATTAACATGTTCAAACATCGAATTAAAAGATGCAATCGTTTCGGTAAAAGTAGAAAGACAATGCTGTTTAATAATGGCACGAATTTCATTTTGAACTTGAATAACAGATTTATCTGTAACATTAATTATATCGGTATATTTATTATTTAATTCTTGAATTTGTAATTGCTTTTGTAATAGCTTTTGATATTCTTCATAAACTTGATCATCTTCATGTTCACGCATCAAAGATATTTGTATTGAATCTTCGAGACTATGCCCATGTTTTAATAATATACGAATGTTTTCATGAGGAATGGTTATTTTACATTTTTCTATAACTGAATTATAGATTTTTTCAGCTGCTGTTAAATTACATTTTTCTTTACAGGCAATAGTAGCAATACACACTGCTTCCAACATGAGACCACCACGATCGTATATAATAAATTTTGTATTATCTTTCGCTGCAACATTGGCACGTTTGTTAGCTGCACGCATTATAACAGTAATAAATTCTTCATGACTACTGTTTGTAAACCACCAAGCTTTTAAAGTATTTTTCGTCATTAAATCATTCATCAGATCATCGTAGTTATGAATATCTGATCGTAAATCAACACCTTTAGTAGGCATATAACGCATCAATATGCTTTTGCCAACATTATCAACTCCATTCAAAGAAATCGTTGTATAATTGATAGATTGCACTTGATTCATAACGCCACTATCATTTTTGGTGCACATTTTCTCAACAGATGATATAAAGCTAAAATTAAACAAAAAAAGTAGTTAAAAATGTGTGTGTTGAGACTTTCAGAAAATTATTTATTGTCTGAAAATAAATCAAAGAACAAAAGTAACTTTTCTTGAAGAGTAGAGTACAAAATTCTAAAGTCCGAGAAGTAACTGATGATAAGACGGTCAGCACCTCATGGCAAATTTGTTATTTTGAAATAAATAAATAGCGCGAACGAGAAAAAAATGATTCTTTTAGAGAATCAAAATGTATTACCTTATATAGTTGCTTTGTGTACGTAGAATGAGTCCCAGCTGAAATAATCTATAGCTGAAGACAAAAAAAAATGATGTCTCTAACACGCGAAACCACTTTTATCGTCGACTCTTCAGTGATACCGCTTGAGTATTTTTCGTCGTCCTGTCTCTTCCTTCGAATCACACACGAATGAAATGATATGTTTTCTCGTTCTTCTATTTCTCTCTCTATTTTCTTTGTTTCTCTCGCCTAACTTTAACGAAATAGATGTACTGTCAATATTTACGAATTTCGTTATCAGTTACTCCCTCCTTGATTCTTTCCAATATTACTCATGAAAAGTATCGACCGTTACATCACGCTTCGTCGAAAGTCAAAAAAATGACTGTTCTCTTTTCGTCGAAAAATGTTTTCCATTTAATTGATAGAAGATTGGTTATCTTGAGGGTGTGGGTGTGGGTGTGGGTGTCCACTCTTTCTAATCAGGTTAAGAAAAGCTGACGAATGTACGGATCATTATAATAGTATATCTCATTCTACTTCATAAAAGACGTGATTATGGAAAAATAAACATTTATGTCAGAAAAAACTTTTTACTTAGAAAATATCAAGCGATTAAGAATTATGTAATGATCAAATAAGAGCGCCATCTTTACGGGAAAAAAACAATGATATCATCGATCAAATATAATAAATAAATATATTTCGATATAGGAACCAATCGAATTAAAATTCACTCAAGAGTATCAGGTGCAATTCTAATATGTTTGAATAGATTTTATACGAAAGGCTTGTACCTCGCACTTTTGCATTGAATGTTGAAAAAAATTATTAGTGGTGGACAAACTGGTGTTGATCGAGCTGCCTTGGATGTTGCTATTGAATTGAATTATCAATATGGTGGATGGTGTCCTCGTGGTCGAAAAGCAGAAGATGGAATGATTGATCCTATAAAATATGCCAATCTTCATGAAACATCAACAGATGATTATTCACAACGAACAGAATATAATGTTCGAGATTCAGATGGAACATTGATCATGATCATTGGTAGTGAAGCTACTATGGACAATGGTACAAAATTAACAGTCAACATGACAAAGAAATATCAGAAACCTATGTGTATTATTAGTCTTAATGAAGAACATAAGAACATTAATGAAATGAAAATTCTTGAATGGCTTATGATAAATAAAATTCAAATAGTAAATATTGCTGGACTACGAGAACAGACAATACCTGGAATTTATCAACAGACACAAAGCTTTTTAAGAAATTTGTTACCGAAAACTTTTAACTAAATAAAACTTTAAACAAAAAAAAAGGGTGTGAATATGAGTGTCCTTATAAAATTCGTTTCGTTGCGTCTCTATTTATTCGGTATATTGTCAAATGATCGAAAGTTTTATAAGCGAGAGAAAAAAAACGATTTAGATTTTATTCATCAGCAATATGTTTAGTATAAAACTTATCAATATTTATCTTATGGCTTTCGCTTTCACACAATGATTCATTTTATTTTCTTTATTTATCTTCTACTGATGGTCCACATGGTTTATTTATTTTTGTTCTCAATTCTTTCTTGTTATTACATGTATGTTTTGAAATAACATCGTAATAAATTTTCTCTTATACAAAATGATTTTTTAACGAAATGTATTGTTTCTAGATGAATAATTATTCAGATCAAACTTCTAATTCTAATCACTTATCATTTCATTGTTCCAGTGGTGAATTACTATGGGGTCAATTACATTGTATCTGTGAAGGTTATTTCAATGGCCGCCTTAATCGATATGATACTCCTCAGTCTATACCTGAACTATTGGCAGGAGGGACAATAAAGCAACGTTATTTTAATTATCGATGTCGAGCTGCTAAAGGTGATTGGCAAGCTAAATCATATCAAACTCGAGATACTTTAGAAGCTGAACCATTTAAATCAGGCTATATTATATATAATATTCATCATAATCCAGTTGAAATATTACGACGTTGTGCTAATGTTGGTGTATCTCTTTATCAAACACATAGTGATCATAGTATTGTATACATTAATCGATATGATTGGTCCTGTCATCATGATTATGACTTCCAATATGAGATTGATAAATTATTGGGAATTGATAGAAACAAACCGGATCATGACTTTTTTTGGGAAAGTTCATTTCATGGTCGTATTATGGTTATTGACTCGAATTCAGCTATGAATATTATTAAACAATGGAAATTTGATCCTACTGAACTTAAACAACCTCAAGAGAAAGTATTTATTGACACTCGTAATGAAACGAATAATCGAGTTGGATTACATTTAAGCATTCCCAAAACTGACTATGATTTCGCATGGTTAGTATTTAGTAGTGATCAGCCTGATTCAGAATTAATTGCAATAGTCTACGATGGAAGTTGTACTACATTAAGCGGTCAAATTATACTCGGCAAAGAAGATGTAGTCAGTTTGGATGAATCTGAATTAAATACACAAGAACAAGCTCGTCGCAACGCCGATTTATCGAAGAAAATGCGGTCTGCTGCTAGATATCGGCACAATTAACTGATTTACAATTTCACATTTCTATTCTTCTTATAATAATAACGATGTCTTTCATTAATTTTATTCAAAACAAATAAAGAAAAAAACGTATTTAAAAACTATTTAAGAATGAAACTATTAGCGAACAAAAGAAAGTTAAAAAATAGTTTTATAGAAATAAGCAAATCCGTATAAGAATATACCCAAACCTAGTAGACTTATAACTGTTGACCATACTGTTTTCCAATTGGCACGTTCAACATATTTTATTGACAACCAGAAGACAAACATTGTTCGTAACAAATCGTGACACAGCTTTCGTAACAATTTTGACATAGCTTTCGTAAGCAAGATTTTATTGCATTCATAACTAAAATGAGAGACTGATACTAAAAATAACAGGGTATTCGTTACGAATACTCATGTTTACAAATATCGCTTAAATCATTAAGTAGGATCCATTCATAACAAATTTTATATACTTAAATAATCCAAATACATGGCACTATACTACGAATAAATTATTTGTGTATATTCATAGATGTCCTTGTTATTTGTATAGTATACTACCTGATTGTTGTTACTTATTGTGCTAATAAAAAGCAGATTTAAAAAAGATAGATATTTGTCCATACTTATGTTCTCGTTCTCTCTTTCTACTTTTGAATTTCATACATTATAATTCTAGTAGATCTCTAAGTTCCATATGAAATCATATCACTAACATCGGACTAGATATCATATTAAATTCTTATACGTTACGATAGCCCTGTAAGAACGATACGAAGATCCTGTCAAAGTTGTTACGAAAGCTATGTCTAAATTGTTACGAAAGCCCTGTAAACTTGATATGAAAACTGTTAAAAAGTGATACGAAAGCCTTGTCAAAAGCGATACGAAAGCTGTGTCATGAATCGTTACGAAAGCCCTGCTCCGAACTGGGTTTTCGTAACCAATCGTTACGAATCGTTACTTTCCCTTTCAACCGCAGTAACTTGTTCGTTAGATGCTTCGGTCATATTTTTACTTGTAATCAATGTGTTGTTTCATATATTTATCCGGATGTATATACACAAGTTAATTACATGAGGGTTGCATCATATATAAATTTTATGACGTTAAATGAATATGATGCAAAAAGATAATTTCATCTTCCTTCTTTCATAATCGGTTATTTCACATTTTCTTTACTGTATGACATAAAATTCTCTTGGTAAATACCGAAAGATAACTATTATATTTTAATTATTTTATTAAAAAAAAAGAATGCAATCTATTTATGCATACAAATTTCTTATTTATAATAAACTTACATTTTATCACTTACCTTTGGTGTACGTTGCTGCAAACTATCATTACTTTTACCTGAATTTGCGACACCACAGTCCGTCGCAGGTGTCTAATATGAAACAAACCATCTTGAGCGTGGGTGTGGGTGCAGGTGGGTCGGTGTGAATGATAGACTCAAGACACGCACACCCTTTAGAAAGTCTTAAATCAAAAATATCAGCTCTTTCTGACGACCCTGTGAAGGGTGGGTGTGGGTATCTTAAATCCATCACCCACGCCTGCACCCCACTCACACTCTCAAGATGGTTTTAGTGATTTAATATTTGATAGACTCAGGAGGACGTTGCTGCTTTTGGCCGATTATTCCAGGAAGAATTTTAAATCTTTGTCACACACCAGGCTCAAAGTATTTTTATTTTCAGTTTGTGATATGATACTATTAATTTTCTAAATGAGACCAAAAAATGCTTGATCTAATTCAGTTGTACTAAAAAATTTCAATAATTTAAGAAATAATTCAACAGGAAAAAGTTCTAGTGTCGTCGTTACTGAGATACGTGGCATTTTATCAGAAACGTTCTTTTTATTAGTAACATATACTACTTTAACTTTGAATTTATAGGAACACGTTCATAAGTGCAAAAAAGATGCAGAAAAATCTCTAGGAGAATGAATAAATTCGATTGTTTTCTTCTATTTGAAAGAAAGAAAAAAAAATTAAGGAGAGAATAGAGAGAGTGCGTCAAGAGAATAGGCCATTTGGAGTGTTTTTTTGTGTTTGTCATTAAAAAAGAAACAAAAATATCTGTCATCAGGAGTCATGGAAATGAAATGAAAAAATTGTGTGGAATATGTGTATAAAAAAGAAAATTCAAAAGTGCATCATTCATTCACCTACAAAATTTGTGACTGTTGAAAAAGGTATGTTAATAAATTTATAGGTGCTTTCTTACTCACAGTAACTTTCGAGAATTTTGTAATTCAGTTCAAAAAAAAGCAGGAAAATAATAGGTCAATCTGGGTAGGGCGCCGTTGGTTGAATGATCGATTGTCGAATGATTTTTCGTCGAAAGTTACTATAGTAGTAGTAGTAGTACGAAAAATATTCGCCGAACAGTCATTCGACGAATCGTCCACTCGACGAAAAATCGTTTGTCTAACGGTGACTTCTGCGCTAATCTCAACGTCAAAAGAGTAACTTTGTGGCTTAGGTCAAATGCTGAAAAAAATTGTGGTTTTTTGCGTAATTGTTTTCAAGAATTTTTATTCATTTTTTAAACAGCTTCTCGAGGGGGCGAGTGGGAGCGGATAAGGAAGACTCATAGCCGCCCAAATACATGCACACCCTCACTCACATACACCGTCAAGATGGCTGACTTCCTTATCTTTACAATTTTTTCTTAATTTCAATTGTATGTGCACTCTTAATAAAGAAACTTTAAGCTTCTTTGACTGAACGATCGTTTGTTTTTACATATGTGTTTGCAAATTAGGACTTTTCTATATGAGATCTATAGTAATAAGCTTAGCAAATGTTTGAGATCTATTTACAGGAATAATGAAGCCTCATTCGTTGACACCGAAAATTGAGGGTGTGGGTATTTGTTACATCTTTCATCCATACTGATACCCACACCCACACTCACACCCTCAAGATGCTTTATTAAAAAAATTAATAACTTTAGATTATTTTCGTTTTGCAATCGATATAAAATTTTTTTAGTCGTTTAAACTTAACCAGCTGAATTGAAATAAAAATGGCTTCGGCAAGCACCAGTACACGTGTTAAATGGATGTGGAAAGCAAATGCGGATCCTTTTTCAAAAACTGAACCAGCGGAATGGAAATCCTACTCTGATGTAGAAAATAGAATTATTGAAGAGGCATTTCAATCTGGGCAAAGTCATGCTATTCTGGACTCTTATAGTATTAATTTTAAACACAGAATTCAAATTCTCAACGAAGATGGCAATAAACAACGTCCTATCAAACGAGAAATAGTCAATACAGCCGATCAGTACCTACGAGAAGAACGATTTACATTTACTCCTATCAATCCCGAACAACCATTTGCTGGTTTATATGGTTGGATTTCACCGTTTATACGAGCAACCGTGAAAGAGCTGAATATCACCGAAGATCAGTTACCTTCGAAAGATGACACAGTCGTTCCGATGATTGTAGAAAGAGCAGCGAAAGGTATCATTCAAGAAGGAAAGAAAATTGGAAAACAATGTGAAGCTGAACATATGGCGAAAGAACTATTGAAGAAAAAAGATGAAGGTATGAAAGAAGTCTGGAAATGTTGCGCGCATCTGTATTCAATGGAGAGTTTCTTATATAAAAAATTAAATGAAACCATGCGATTGATTGGAAGCAAAGAGCATGAGCAAGAATGGAGAAATAATGTCTGCACATTGGGACCATTCTCATTATTGTTATGGGACAATCCTTTTGACAATAAAACAACTCAAAGAGGGACAATTTTTTATCGAGGAGCAAATTTAAACGATAAATTGATTTCGATTTTCAAGGAAGATAGTTTAAACAAAAAAGAAACAAGTCGTTCTTTTCCAGCGTTCACGTCATGCAGTCGTAGTCGAGTTGCAGCCGAAAAATTCGGAAATGTTTTATTTATAATGACCGTTAAGCATGCATTTACTGTAGACCTTAAGCCATTCTCTGAATATCCTGATGAAGAAGAAGAATTACTTTCTCCAGGTGTTTGTTTTACTATTGAACGTGTAGAATCCAGCAAAACCGAAAACAAGCATTTAATTTATTTAAATCTTATGCAACAGTACGATCGTAAGTTAATTACTTTTCTTTATACAAGATTGTCATTGTTAACTATTCATCTTATTCTCCGAGTACTCATTCTACTTTATTTAAAAACTTGAAGATATTGTCGATGTTGTTAGATTCTCAGAGTATAACTATTTATATGTAAAAGAATTGGCCAGAGAAAGATGTTCAATGTTAAACGTATAGGACAAAACAAATTGCTTATACACTGTAGTATAAAATCGTATTTGATAAATCGATTGAGTTTATTACGAAACAGATCTTTCTCTTAGTAACCTTTGCGATAGTTAAACTGACCAAAAGTTCTAGTTCTGAAGATGCGGTTGATCTTTGTCTTTGAATTCAGAGTTTTTGGACTTCACTAAGTAGGTTTATTATAAAACGCGAATAACTTTTATAACGTCTCTGGTAGTTAATAATCTTTAATATTGCTATTCTTCTGTTCTTCATCTTCCGATCTTCAAGTGAAGGAAGCATTGACAAGTATGCATTAAGAAAGTATTTTCCGTATTTCATAAAACACAGATTCTTTTTTTTCATTCTCAGTGGTGAAACGAGTTCTGATTTTTCTTAATTGTTTGAAATTACCATTCTTTATCATATGTGTATTTTTCGAAATTCTATTTGAGACGAAACAGTTTTTGAAGCTTCGCATTACAGTAAAAAGTTCTTTTTATTAGAATAGATTTTAGTAAAGTACAATTCATTTTTCAAACATCATTTAAATCCTTCTTATCAGACATAGGCAAGTCGAATCCATTTTTGATTTGTTGAATTAAGTCACGAGTTACTTGACCTGCTTTTCACTTGAGAGCTTTAAGATATCACTTGACTTGAATTGACTGGGAATTTTAAAAATATGACTTCGACTTAAGTTGGATCAAAAACTTGTTCATTTGCTTATTTCTTCTTTATAAGATTTTCATATTTTTTCTCTAATTTCTAAGATTAAAAAATGTCTTCAAAAATATTTTATCATATTTAAACATGTAAGGAAGCTGAATTATTTTCACAATTCAGTATATTCTATTAGGCAGTTCAATTTATTCACATTTTATTAACAAAACAAACAATTTATCAAACAAAATGTAATCAATAATCCAATTCTATGAACATTTTTTGTGTTTTCATTTCATGTAATCATCGATCTCAAGTTAAAATATTTGTAAATACAACAACCAATCTACTATTAGAAGTCTTATGTGGAAAAAGCTTTCATTTATCATTCGATTAAGGGTTTAAAAATCAAAACACGTTATTCAGAAAATTACAAAGTATATTTAGTCACTAAAATACATTATTTTTATCTAATGACAAAAAATTTTAGATACTTTAATTAAAACACCTACCTATCTCTAAATTTCAAACATAAAAAGGACAGCTAAATACTCTACTTAACTTCTCTATCTTTTAAATATATTCATAAACCGCATTTAGAGTATTATAAAGTCAAATCAATCAAATATAATAAATATCATTTTCTAAACCGCTTTCTCATCATAAGTTAACATTTTTCTTGTAATTTCCTTTGAAAAAAATTGATTCAACTTCTTTCGAAAAAGAAGCTCTGTTCTATCAGAGACCCTCCATATTTACAAAACAAGTATCTAGTTAATTCTTCTTACAATAACTATAGCATATACAAGACTACAAATTTACAACAGGCTAGGCAACACTGTCCCCCTAAAATATTTAATCGTACAATTCGTTTCTATACATTTACCTTATTAATTACATACAATTTCATTTATACAGTAAGATTAGCAAAATATCAGCAGATCATACAAATATTTAAATTAAAAAACGATAACTATCTGATTTAAATCTATTTTAGAACGCGACAGCGAACAAATATCTGAGTCTCCTTCTTGGCTTGCTGCTCGTGGTGGTGATGCTCGTTATGATGATCTTTATCTTGCTCTTGGTAATTATGATAATAATCCTGCTTTTGATGATCCCGCTTATAATCCTGATAATCTTAGTGTTGATGATTGTCTTTCTGCCGAACATGGTCGTGAAGGTCCTAATGGCAACTGGGAATGAAAGGTGATACAAAAGTCATACAAGACTGTTAATTCTGATGAAACATTTTTCGTTCTATGTTTTACTTTTTTTCAGATTTTGAAAATGAACGTCATATTATAGGAGTATGAAACGAAAATATATTTAAGATCCTACACTGATGAAATGATATGTTTATCGGATGTTCTTTTGACTTATGAGAGTGGGCGTGTGTGAGGGTGGGGGTGTACATAGTTGTAGCCTTTCACACCCAGACCCCCTCACACATCCTCTGCTCTGTCATATCGAGGATGTGTCTGGTACATGAATGCTCCCCTTTTTCCTTCTTTTTCTTCCTTTTGTCGAAGCATTCACCAATTTCTACCATCTTAAGGGTGTGGGTGTGGTGGGTGAGGATGTGTGTGAATCATAAATTATCTTTACTCGCAATCACACTCACACCTATCCTCAAGATTCTCATCCACCTATATCTTAATACTCTTTTTAAATATTATAACATATTCCAGCTTATTTTTTCTTATTGGTATTTTCTTTTTCAGTTTTTTGTTTCAATAAATATCTCTTGAAAAATCGATGTAATTCATATGAAATCCATTAGATATATGTTTTAGCAATATTCCAAAAATTAATATTTAAAATTATCAATCAATTAAAATATACTATGTTAGTTTTTATCGATGACTACATGAATAATTAAGATTTTTATTACGCAAATGACATGTATCTTATCAGATATGAATGACGCACTTTGAGATTAGATTTTCTTTGTAGTTAATAAACAAAAAACAACAAAATTCTAAATATTTCATAAAAAATAATAAAATGCAGGGAGACAAAAATATTCAGATCATAGTATCGTTGTTTATATATTTTTTTGATCAATTATTCTTTTTTTGTTGGTGGTGTATATGTTATTTTCGAGCGAAGATCAAATTCTAAATCTTGATCTAGATCAGCTGCTTTCTCATCATCTGGATCACCATCAGCATCATGATCATGTGTTACATGCAATGGTAAATCAGGTGAAATTTGCATCGATAATGAATGATTAAAACGTGATACACCACTCGCTCCTTGATCCATTGTTGAACGACGACGATCTGATGTTTCCGATTGAGGTGTATCACCACCCCATGATTTAAAATGCATCGGTTCTTCAGGATCAACAGTTGATTCATGAGGCATCTGAAATCAAAAAATGAAATCAAAATACAATATGATTACTTATCAAATTATATACTAATTGTGGAACAGCACGAAAAAAATAAAAGAATGGATAATAAACAAGATTGACAACTGTTGAAGCATATATATCAGCAAATCTTGATACTTGTGAAGCAAAATGAGTTTGACGAGAACCTTTATATTAAACAAAAATATAAATAATTTTGATAAATGTATAATTTACCTGTTCGAAAAAGAGAACCTAAAAGTCCAAAATTCATATCCAGTTCATGAGTACATTGCTAAAAATAATTAAAACATGATAATGAAAGCCATTTTTATTTCTTTTTACCTGTATTTTTTGTTTAATTTTATTGACTGCATCTGGTCCATGATTTGCAGTCATATCAAATGAACGAAGTAATTCACTAATTGATGTATCTAATGATTCTAATGTATTAAATAAATCTCTTTTATCATGAAAAACTTTTAATTCATGATTAAGTTCAGGTACAACAAGCATTGTTCTCCATGCTTTCTGTTTTTTCGATTTAATTATATCACCAAATATATGATCACCCACATATAAAACATCTTTACCCATTGAACCAATTAATTTCGAAACAACTTCACAAGAACCTCCACTATAAACTTCATTTTGTTGTAATTCACCCGAATATGTACCCAATTTCATACTTCCTGTACTTGGATTAATTATTCTTAATGTTGTACCTTCAGCAAAAAAAAGTGGTTTTTGTGCATCAACAAGAATAAAATCAAAATATGATTTCCAATCACGCTTGGCGTTATTATTTTCACTATTTAGTAAATAGGTCATTAATTTATCTGTATACCAATATTCACTGTTTGTTAATAAAAATGTTTTTGCATTATGAGAACGAATACTAAAAAAAAAAAAAGATTTCTTCGTATCATTAAATTATTTATAATTTACCGATCTAATAATACAGGTAATCGTTCATCCTTATGAATATATTTTTGAATATCTTTACAAACCATTTCTTTAAGCTGACCCTTGAGAAATAAAGAAATATGATTAGAATTTTAATGAATTAAGAATTCATACTTTGTTATGAACACGTTCAACTGAATTTCGAACATCATTGAAAATAGCACGAAATGAAAGAATATTTCCTCCAAATTGTACAGCTGTTCGACCTCTAAAAAAAGAAAATCAATCAGATAATTCTTCTATACTAATTTATTCTTGAACATACTGAACATAAGTAGCCATTGTTGAAAAATAATCAATCAAACAAGCAATAAGATAAATTTCTAAATAAAAATAATTATTTTCATTAAATTTATTTCCTACGCAATATTACCTGGTAGATTAAAAAGTGTATAATAAACATAAATACGATCATCACCTACAATATATTTATTTGGATAAAGTTCACGAACTTCATGTCTACATAACAGAAAAAAAGTGAATAAATAAGATTTCTTCAATAACAAAAAAAATCTTTACCCAGAAAGAAATTTAAAACCATGAACAACAGTAAGAATATTACCATATGCATCAACTTTAAGTAAATTTCCATATAATTTATCATACCAAAGACCACTAATAATAACAGAAAATAAATAAACTTAGAAAAATATGAAATATTTACCGTAGTGGAAATGTTCGATCATAAACAAATTGTCGAATTTCTTCTGGATAACCAAGTTCAACAACTGAATCGATAACAAGTTGAAATGTTAATTCTTCAAATTCAGGTGATTTATACAATGCTAATGTATAATCCATATCAAAACCATAAAATTTAATTCGATCTAATTGTAAACTTCGAGTAACAAATATACTAAATTATAAAAATAAATAAAAAAATTTTTTCCTTTAAAATTATCTTTACCGATGACCTGGTTCACGTTTTGTTTTCATATTCCGTTTCTAAATAAATTTAAAAATAAATCAAAAAATTTATCTATTATAAAATTAATATATCATACACGTATTTCAGCATCAGTCGAAAATGATTCTCGTGTATTATCATTACGTTTCATTTCGTAATCTATCAAATCACTTTGATCGTCAATCTAAATTAAATTTATTTTGTCCTTAAAAATGTAAACAAGAAATTGTATTTACCATTGTCGTTTTTATTATTACAAACACATACAAAAGAAAAAAACAAACGAATGGATAGGTAAAAAGGATCAGGTACTATATATATATGCATGCAATCGACATCAAGGGCAATTTAATCGATTGTTATTCATGATATATATATGATTTAGTATTCTCTTCATTATGTACTTTAGCGCAAAAAAAGTTCGAACGTTTTTTCACGAAAATAATATACTCGTTTAATATAATGACTTATTCTTCTTACATTGTTCCCATATAGTAAACATAAATACGTAAAAAAATGCACGAGAACGGAAATAGAGAATTATGGTTACCGATGATTAAAAAAGAGAAAAGAATATTCCACATGACTGATCTTTTGAATAAAAACAAAAGTCACATTTTAACTTGATTTTAAACTAGACATATATGAATAAGGACAAAAATAGATTTGCTCTTCTTTTGTATTATAATGACGACGATTGAATTATGTCATCCACGCCCTTCATTAACCTATGCGAAGCAAACTATTTTCTTTTACATGTAGCGCATCATCCTTTATGAAATATTGAAACATGAAATAAGAGATTTATCTGTCTATGTCGTGTTCTTATCTAAAATTCTAATAATCCTCTATTATTAATTCCATATGAACTAGACTGGCACAGCTTTACTTTCATCGAAGAGAACATCTAATAGAATGCATATTATATTGCAAACAACGAAAAAAATCTTTTTTTCAAGTAGCACAACAAGTGCATTATTCAATAAAAATGAATTGATTTTTTATACAAATACTTAAATCAATAAGAAAGAAACAGAATCTTTTTTTGACATAATTTTATTTATTCTTATTCTTATAACACACTATACCCGTAAATCCACATTATATATAACAGTTTACCATTCATTATCAGGCGCTACTATCGCTCATAAAAAATTGGCATCTAAAAATAATTAATCTATATTTTTATTCATTTTGAATATTAGAAAAAAAAGTTTGAATTATTTAGAAAACTTTTTTTCTTTCTAACCAATCAGATTTTAGATCTGTAGACAATTCAATATGGTGGTGTTTAAGAATCTTGATCATTTGCCGAAAAAACTGACTTCATCTCACTTTTTTGTTTTATAGATATTTCTTAACATCTATCATGCAGATCTTCGTTAAGGTAAAAATTTACGAAATAAATTAATAAAATAAATCTTTTTGTACTTCTTTTCAGACTCTTACAGGCAAGACTATCACCCTTGAAGTAAGTTTATTATAGTTATTCGATGATAAATATATATTACTTTTTATTAGGTCGAGCCATCCGATACCATTGAAAATGTTAAAGCTAAAATTCAAGATAAAGAAGGTATTCCACCAGATCAACAACGTTTAATTTTTGCCGGCAAACAACTTGAAGGTAATATAAAAACTAATAATAATAAACTTTAAAATAAATCATTTTCGTTTAAGATGGTCGTACACTTTCGGATTATAATATTCAAAAGGAAAGTACCCTTCATTTGGTTTTACGTAAGTTAAAATATGATTTAATAATATGAATATAAACATATTTATTATTTTAAAGGTCTTCGAGGTGGTACAATCGAACCAACACTTCGTTTACTTGCTCAAAAATATAACTGTGACAAAGTTATTTGTCGCAAGTAAGAAGAAAAACCGTTTTTGTTTTTTGAATTAATATGATTATTTTAGATGTTATGCACGACTTCATCCACGTGCTGTCAATTGTCGTAAACGTAAATGTGGTCATACCAGTAATTTACGACCAAAAAAGAAACTCAAATAAACATTTCTTTGTTTTTTTTGTTTTTGAACATGCAGATAAAAGCATCTGCTAAAATAACAGAAGAAGAATAAAAAAATGAGTATATCTGGATGATTTTATATGACAAGTTAATGATACATATATGCTATAAATCACATGTTCTTTATTATTAAAGAGAAAACAACGGAAAAGTTAGCCATGAATTTTGGTCAAAGCAATTCTATACAAAGCTCATTACAGGTTTATGCAGTCAGTTGACGTTTCATGACGTTTGAAAAAAATGAGATTTAAAAACAAAGCAATCTGCTAAGCATTGTATTCTAATATGTTCTTCCAAACAAAAATAAAATTAAACATATAGAATGAGTGTGGATAGAGAATTTTACTTTAGCAAATCAGCTGTCTTTGTATATTAAATATCTCTATCATAAGTCATATTAGCAAGCTCTTAATAGAGTTCAAGGTTTTAGAATATGTTCATTGCTTTTCTTGTTTATATATTTTTGCTTAAAGTTATTTTATCGATTAATGAGAGTAAACACAACTTCATATCGCAGTTCAATTTGATAAATAAATACAAAATAAAACAAAAAACAATGATAACGTTTTTTTTCACTTTATTTTTGTTCAAATTTTTCTACCATAGTTTCGTCAATCACAATGTACATATAAGTTTCCGTACGATTCAATGTATTTAAATATTGTTTTAAATCAGTTTCATTACCAATTAATTTTGGTTGAGATAATTTTGAATCTAAATTATAATAATTTTCTCCATTGATACTTTTTATTGAAAACCAATGACGACCAGGTTTTGTCCATGAACGTACTAATGGTAAACGATCAAAAAATGGTCGTTCAAGAGGTATATTTAATAGTAAACCCAAACAATCTTTAAAATGAAATATATCCAATGATTCATTAACATCAATAGCACGTAATGTATAGCCTTGTTGTTTTAATGCATCAAGTATGATTGTTAAATCATAATTACCTGTAAATAACGTTGAATATTCATTCCAACACCATGATTTATCATATTCATGTACAATTGAATCAAGTTTTTGTTTATTAAAAAGAGGTTTTTGAAAAAGACTATTCAATGAATGTAATGCACATAATTGTAATCGTTGTTTTTCATGATATAAATCAGGTTTGTCATTATTCATCTTAGATATGTAGGTTTATAAAAAGAAATAACAAAGTAAAAATATTACATTATCTAAAAAATCAAATCAAATCTATTCATTCGGATCTATTGATTCATTCCTAATCGTTTATTCTTATGTATTTCAATGTTTAAATAAAAGCAATAATTAAAATATTAACTGTAAATCCTTAGGTTGAAATATGTTTTGTAATCTTTAACAAAACGTGATGCATTGAAAAATTGATGATGATATGATATATTATAGAAAGTTAAAAACAACGAATAGAAATTGTCTATAATTGAATTGATAGACGACTGCTGTCATCTATCTAAATATACTTTTTTTGACATAATTTTTTCTTTTCTCTATTTCTCGTTTTTTTATGCTTCAAAAATCCTGCTTGGCGCAAAAAAAAAAAGATAAAATCTGTCTGTTTTTGATCTACCGTCTTTCTTTCCATTCTAGACTGACGGATTTCTATGTGTTCTTTAGCAAAACTGTTGAGTTGATAACTTGCTCTTTTTTACTATTTTACATTCCTTTGAACATAACAAGTCACAATTCTATCTCGCTTTTTCCTTTTTTAACGAGCTAAATTTAATGAGTTTCTTTTTCTTTTTACAAATTGGTAAGCATATTGTCTGTTAAAAACAGCTTGGAGAAACAATTATATTATCAACTAAAGTTTTTCTTTTAAAATAATAATATTACTCTTTTAAACACAATATCCGTAATGTTGCCTCTCTCTCTCTTTTTATACACAATTCATATCATTCTTATGACAAATTTGACAATGTGTTTCATGAGAGTTTTCTTATTAATGTTGAATGAATTTAATATAAAACTCTATATCAGGAATATATGAACATCACACCCTATTTTTTTCAAGATAAATAGCAATATGTGTAACTTCCGCTCAAAATATTGTACGTGACGTACGGAGAAAACTATTTTAAAATAACTACTGAGTTATATTTATTTGGAGTCATGACCAATTTTCAGTAAATATCTGATTTCTGAAAAGGAGACAGACTTTTATGTTGATAGACGATTCATCAATATCATCAAAAAACAGGTACCAGATATTTGCTTTCAAGATTAAATTTCTAAACTATTATGGGTATGGGTGAGGTTTAGTAAAGAGAATAGCGACACTCACCCATCTTATTTGCTCATGGAATATTTCTTTTTTTAGTATAATACTAATAAAATGGGCGTTTGCCGACAGATTCGTTTGATCTTATGGAAAAATTTTACTATTCGACGTCGACGATGGGTTTGTTTTTAGAAATTTATTCTAAAATCAATTTGTATTGTTTTATTTAGCCTCGAGTGATATTTGAATTAATTTGGCCATTATTTTTATTTTTTATTCTAATGTGGGTTCGAACAAGAAATTTAACATTTTATTATGATGCTTGTAAGATTATTTTCTTTAAAAATTTATCTTAATAAATTTATTTAAGGTTATAATGATCCAAAATATCTTGGAGCAACTGGATTTTTACCTGCACTACAAAGTTATATTTGTCAATGGAATAATACATGTTATAATCAATCAAAAACAACTGATGAATTTCATGGGGAAGCAACCTTTTGGAATCAATTAACAGATTTAAGTGAAAGTCTTTCGATTATTTTTAATGATGATAAAACGGTTAATTTATTTGATAAACTTTTTACGCAAATTAATTCATTACAACGTTATTCTACGATTTGGAATGGTAAGTGTTTTAATATTTGAATAATGTCAAATATTGATTTACGTACTTTGAAAATATAATATAAGGTACTATTTTGGCAAATAAAAGCACGAATGATTTTAATCAATCTATTCCAACAACAATAATCAATACACTTTTTCAAAATCCTGTTGGTTTATCTAATCTTCATCAATCATGGTTTATGAATCATACCAAAAGATCTGAGTCGAATTTAAATATTATAATACAAATATCTTATTCACGTTCACAAAAAAACTTTTCCTTTGTAAATTAAACAATTTCATTTATATGTAGAGGTTTAAATTATGCTTTTTTTTTTATTTCATCTAGTCATATCAATCAGAAACAAATATAAAACAATCATTTTGTAATAAGACAGAATTTAATAAAACTTTTCTGATTAACTCACCCGATGCAATTGTACCAAAAAATTTTTTATGTAATAATTTATCAGCAAGTGATTTGAAATTATTTTTAATCAGTGTACAAAATCAATTGGATGATATACTTTTGGTAAAATTATAAAGATTTTCTTATGAAATTATTTCATTTTATTCAATAATTCTAGACTAATATGGCACCAGATATTGTGAAACTTACTATGAATGGAATGCAAGTATGTAATCTTGATTTTTATTACACTATCATAAAATATTATTGATGTGTTTAGGCTGCTCGAACTCTGGAACAAATTCATTCTCGTTTAAACATACTTAATGTTAGCTTTTCATTCAATGAAACCAATAGTAGTATTAGGTAATAATTTCGCGGCATACTTATTTGTATTTTATATTACTAATAGCATGCATCAGATTTAAGATTCAACAAATTCGAGTATCGTACTTACAAAAGAATCGTTTTCTAATTTGAATTTTGCGCATAACATATAGAACAAGTCATTTCTTGTATGTTTATGATCCATTATCGATTATTAAAATAAAATAGTCTAATTATAAGTCGAATTATGTTTCATAAAAGCTGAAATTATACAGAAATAAGTGTGGGTCCCATGCGGAACAATCCGCAGACAAAGGATAGAACACACCGTATATGTAGATTTATTTTCCCAGTATACTTATCATAGAAAACCTTTTTATATTTAAATTATAGTTTAACATCATTATGTGGTGGTCGTAATGATTTATCACAGTTTTTTACTACAAATCAATCTTCAAATAATCAAAGCAACCAAAGTGAAACTACTCAAAATAAACAAACAGAAACTACTCAAACACGTTCTACAGCTGATGATACTTTAACTATGTTTAATTATAACAGGTTAGCAGAAAATTTATTATCTTATGATGAATCTGAAATATGTCAAGAATCATATATAACTGGTTCTGGTAAAATTATGCAATTTTCAACAGTAAATCGTACATGTCGTTGTGCTTTATTTGATCAAGTATTCAATTCAAATACTATTCTACGACAATTTGCAACACTATTACGTCCTATTCTATATGGAAAAATCTATTATCATCCATCAAATATTCATTATGATAATATAATTAAAAATATTAATCAAACATTTGAATCATTAGATGAACTTGTTCGATTACTTCGTCAAATTGAATCTACATCTCAAACAATAAATGATATCATACCAGTATTATGTAATTCATTTTCTAATTCATCATTAATTTGTCAACAATTTACAACATATCAAACATCAATGAATTTATTTATAGTTCTAACTGAATTTCTTGCTTGTACAGAACGTAATCGTTTTATTGCAATGGATAGTGAATTAGATATGGTATATGTAGGACAAAATGACTCTGTAACAAATAGTTTTCTTGCTGCAATTGAATTTATGGATAATATAGGAGATAATGATAGTTTACCTACACATATTCGATTTAAAATAAGAATGGCACTTGATTATGTTGATAATACATTTCAAACAGCCGACAAGTAAATAATAGAAATAAATTTCATTCTTTTTTTTCTAATAATTTATATAGATATTTTTCATATGCACCTCGTGTTAGTGCACCAACATCAACAAAATATCATTCATATTTATTTATTTATTTACAAAATGCTCTTGAACGTGCTATTATATACGCACAAACAGGAAGAAATATTTCCTACGGTATACAAACACAACAAATGCCGTATCCATGTTGGATTAATGATAAGTATGTTGTGCATTTTTTTCCTTGTCTTCAGTAAATCGAAATATGAATGATTGATTTTAGATTTTCTAATGCCATTAGTCGAATGTTACCATTATTTATGGTATTAAGTTGGATATTTACAGTTTCAATGAATGTGAAAGATATTGTTCATGAAAAAGAAAAGTAAATAAATAAATATAGGGAAAACATGTTTACGTTTTTTTTCTTCAAGACGATTAAAAGAAATAATGAGAATAATGGGTTTGAATGATTCTGTTCATTGGTTTACTTGGTTTATTTTATGTACAGCTACTATGTTGTTAATAGCATTTTTCCTTATTTTACTTTTAAAGGTAAAACATGTCTTAAATAATTATAATAATATATCGTCTGTTGTAGTTTGGAAAAATCACACAATTTTCTAGTTTTTCTGTATTACTCGTATTCTTCATAAGTTATACATTTGCTACTATTACTCAATGTTTTCTTATTAGTGTATTATTTAATCGAGCTAATTTAGCTGCTTGTGGTATGTATTTACAAATGAAAAATATCTATGTTATAATTCAAAAATGAATATTCTAGGAGCTGGTATTATATATTTTGTTCTCTATTTACCATATACTATATTAATTAGTTATGATACTCAAGTGAAAATATGGCAAAAAGCAATTGCTGTAAAAAATTTTATATTTGTTTTTTAAATAATTAAAATTTTTTTAATATGTTTTAGTGCCTTTCATCAACAGTTGCTTTTGGAGTTGGTTGTGATTATATTGCTCGTTTTGAAGGTATGGTTGAAGGTATTCAATGGTCGAATATAAATCGAGGTGTAAAACCTAATGATAATTTTACATTTCTTTATTGTATTATTATGATGTTAATCGATTCGGTGATTTATATGTTATTAACTATTTATATTGAAAATGTATTTCCCGGTAAGAAAATAAATGAATTTTATTTTTTTAAATTGAATATATATTAAGGTGAATATGGTATTCCACAAGTATGGTATTATCCATTTACAAAAACATACTGGTTTGGATATAATGCAGAAAATATTCGTCAACGTACGGAACAGATGAAATGTGTAATAGATCAAAATCAAAATGGTTAATTTAATTTTCATTTAAATAAAATTTTCTTATGTAATGATATTTTAGGTGAAAATGATATAGGAGAACTTGGCATTAGTATTGAAAATGTATCGAAATATTTTGGAAATAAAATGGCATTGAAAAATTTATCTGTTAAATTTTATCGTAATATGATAACAGCATTTCTTGGACGAAATGGTGCTGGAAAAAGTACAACATGGTCAATATTAACTGGTCTAATACCACCAACAAGTGGTACAATATATATTGATGGTTATGATATATTAACAGATATAAAAATTGTTCGAAAACGTCTTGGTTTTGCTCCTCAATATAATATTTTATTTGATTTATTAACAGTTAAAGAACATTTACAATTTTTTTCTGCGTAAGATAATTGAAGTATTATTTGATAGACATTTAGTTTTTTATTTATTCATTAGATTAAAAGATGCACCAAAAGAATCAATTGAAACAGAAATACATAAAATGTTAAATGATTTAGCATTAGAAAAAAAAGCAGATAATTATTCCACAGAATTATCTGGTGGAATGAAAAGAAAACTTTCAATTGCTATTGCTTTTGTTGGAAATTCAACAACAGTTATTTTAGATGAACCAACAGCAGGTATATACAATAGCGTTTTAGTATAGTGCGTAAGAGCTTTTGAGACATGTACCAACTAGTAAAGTTGAATTCGGAATTTATAGTCACGATTTTTCCGTAAGGATGGTTCGTTGTGGGTGATATATGGGCACGGCCAAGCGTGACGGAATTTCATTTTTTTAACTTGC